CCACAGAGCCATGTCACTTTATACCAGCTGAGGATCTGCCCCATACTATTTAAGGTCTCATCCTGCAAAGATTTGTTCATGTACTTAGTATGTAAAGTTAAGTATGGGATTAAGTCTTTGTATGATCAGAGTCATAGAATACATTTTCCGCCCCAAAGACTTTACAATGTACTTAAAACAAAACACAAAGATTGGGGGAAACAAACTCATTGGTTAGGAGAGGCAGTGCAACATGAAAGTCCCTAGCCCTAGTGCACTCTGGGAAATATAGTCCAATTGGAGATCCCAGTTTATAGAAAATAGTTATGTGAGACAACCAAATTACAACTCCTATGAGGAATCATGATGGCATATCCAAATTAAAATATTTCACACTAAAAACCAAAAATATTTTGCTTTTTTGGGTGTTTGGTTTTTCAACAAAAAAATGAAATTTTCTTTATTAAGGAGACACTTTTCACATACTCACCCACTCACTCACTCACCCACCCACCCACATGCAAATGCACACAAATTGTTTTGCTGAAAATCCAATTTTCTGTTGAAAAAAATGATGGAAAATTTGCAATGAGTGCTGGAGGGCAGTGTACTGGCTTCATGGATAAGTTTGGGGAGGGTGTTCTGTGCATGAAGGAGGAATGGAAGAAAGTACTTGCAGATGAAATGGACAGTTGATCAATGAAGGCTGACATTATTGGTGGTATTTCATGGGGCAGGTACCTTTTGCTATTTCCAGCCTCATTCCATTTAGAAAGGGAAAGAAACTTGATAATCTTGGTTAATAAGTTCCTTTACTATAAATACTTCAACTGATCACTAGCAAAAAATAACAAGAGGTAGAAGAGGATGGAATGTTCTATATTACTTTTTTTAAAAGATCTTCTTGTTCCAACAAATCTGTATCTGTACCCTGAATAACTGTGGGTTGATTTTCTCTTAAAATATAGGTCAAATGTTGTTGCTAACTTTTTCTGATCTCTCTGCAATTATTTTATTCCTTCCATATCTTACAGAAAATTTAAGAATCTGCTTCCATTTTAACTGTGATGATAACTCCGCTATTTATCCAAGTCTTTCTTGTTGCATTTCCAATAAGGGGACAATAGTATGTAGCTATCTGTAATTTAAAGGCAATATCAATGGAAGATCTGCATCAGTGACTGGAACAGAATGTTACAGTTGAACTTTCAGATATCCTGTGCATTTCTGACTTCTTTGAAGGTGTTAGGAACTTGGCCTTCTTAGAACTTACAAAAGTTGTCTTGCACAAGAACAGTGCTATAGCCCTGAGCCACAGCCTATCAAAGATAATGGGCAAATCATCTATTAATAATAGTTAATAATCTATTGATTATTGGCTTTAGATTTCCCCCCATGCAGCTAATTACAGTTGAGTCTATATATATGCAAAATTCACTGGATGAGTCCTTTTAGAAGTTACCTACCTTTGATATGCCTTTATTACTGAAGCAAATCAGAATAAGAGCTCACCAAGTATCTAAATTATATACATTTACATGCCTGGCTACTTTTAGGCTGAGGCCTCCTAGGAGAAGTGGATATCCAATACCCATTAAAATTAACACACATTGACTGTTCATATCCCCCAAGCAACTTTGAAAATATTATCCTTAGTATTCTTGTTCATGATGAAGAAAAAGTTATATGGAAAGCAAACGAGAAAAGAGTTGGGTTCATAATTAGTAGGCAGTTAAAGACAAGAGTATGAAATCAATGTAACAAAAAAATTTCATAGTCGGTACTAAGATTTGAGCCATTCTACTATTCATCACACCTCAGGGCATACATTATTTACGTGGATAGAAAAGAAAGTAACAAAGCTAATGGGGGGAATTACAAAGAAACCTTTTCCCCCAATGGCTTAGGTTACCTATTACCTGTTAACCATTTTACTATAATATATTCCCTTCAATCAAGACATATGAAATCAAGAAAGATTTTTTACAAGGAGCTTTATAAATTCTCCCAGGGGACTAATTTATCCCAATGACAGCGAAAAGCAATGCTGCTGCATAATTGGAATAGTATTAGCAAATATTCCATTTAATAGGGAAACATTTGCCCAATGCCAAGGGGTTAAGTGGTGTTAACCCTTATGTTAGATTCTGAGCTCTGGTATAGTTCTACATAAGTAAGATTCAAAGAGAAGAGAGAAAAATGAAAAGCAGTCAACATTATTATTATTCTTGCAGTTTCACATAGTCCAATTATTTATTTCATTTTAATCTTTTTTTATTTTTTTTTAATAGATTATTCTTTTAGAGCTTAGGGTCAAATTATGTTTTCAGTAACATGGGTGTAAATCCAGAATAACTCCATTCTAATCTCTGCAATTGTTCCAGATTTATACTGATGTAATTGAGAGAAGAATTTGGCTCTTGATAAGTACAGTTGCTAAACTGGGATGATAAGCAATCTTCCAAGATGCCCTAATTAAGGCCCCAATTCTGCAAGATATTTCACACTGATGTAGCTAAGAATTAGTGCAGGGCCCTATCCATGTGAAGTCATTCATAGGACTGGGTAAATCAGGAATAACCCAATCAGACTCACTGTGCTAATGCCGATTGACTCCAAAGGATTTATTCAGATTTATACTACTGCGAGTGAGGTCAGAATTAGGCACAATTATCTGCAATTCAATGTTTATTTTGCGAGAGTAATGAAAATAGATTCAGACACAATGGACTGCAACAGTGTAACTCAGAGTAGAATTATGCCTTAAGAGTTTAAGCATAGCTGTCTATGTATCCAGAAACTCTTATGGTCATAGTAATATTTTCAAAACTACTAGTACATGCACCAAATTCCAACCGACACTGTATTTATATGGCTAAAACAATGAGCACAAATAAAGCCACCTTCCCTTAACAAAAAGAAAAGGAGTACTTGTGGCACCTTAGAGACTAACCAATTTATTTGAGCATAAGCTTTCGTGAGCTACAGCTCACTTCATCGGATGCATACTGTGGAAAGTGTAGAAGATCTTATTATATACACACAAAGCATGAAAAAATACCTCCCCCCACCCCACTCTCCTGCTGGTAATAGCTTATCTAAAGTGATCATTCTCCTTACAATGTGTATGATAATCAAGTTGGGCCATTTCCAGTCACTTTGGATAAGCTATTACCAGCAGGAGAGTGAGTTTGTGTGTGTGTGTGTGGGGGGGGGGGGGGGGGTTTGAGAAAACCTGGATTTGTGTTGGAAATGGCCCACCTTGATTATCATACACATTGTAAGGAGAGTGGTCACTTTGGATAAGCTATTGCCAGCAGGAGAGTGAGTTTGTGTGTGTGTGGGGGGGGGGGGGTGAGAAAACCTGGATTTGTGTTGAAAATGCCCCACCTTGATTATCATACACATTGTAAGGAGAGTGATCACTTTAGATAAGCTATTACCAGCGGGAGAGTGGGGTGGGGGGAGGTATTTTTTCATGCTTTGTGTGTATATAATAAGATCTTCTACACTTTCCACAGTATGCATCCGATGAAGTGAGCTGTAGCTCATGAAAGCTTATGCTCAAATAAATTGGTTAGTCTCTAAGGTGCCACAAGTACTCCTTTTCTTTTTGCGAATACAGACTAACACGGCTGTTACTCTGAAACCTTCCCTTAACAGGCAACGAAACTGGGTCTGTTCTTTGGTTTGTTTTTCCAGCTAGAAATATAGGAAATAAGGTCCCTTTTTGATGCAAAAAATTTCTGGCTTGGGAATTAAATAGTTTCACTGACTTCATTAAAATTTTCAGTATTAGTGTATAATTACAGTGGACCAAATCCTACAGTTCTTACTCTCAAAAACCTCTCAGAGACCAGTGGGAGTTTACTGAATAAAGACTAATGTTTGGCCCACCGTAAACAGTTTCTTACGGTGAATGCCAGGGCAGATGCATTACAGTGCTGAATAACTTATTAAATTAACAAAGGTGAAGTATCTCAAATTCATGGCCTGATTTATCATCTAATTAAAGTCCCTTTACAGTGCCAAAGGAGTGTAAAGAGACCTAGATGTGAATGATAATCAGGCCCCATGAGAATAAATACGTATGTTCAGTGCACCTTTTTTTCTTTTTAATTGGGAGAATGGCAAAGAGGGCAAGTTAGAAAGAAAATGGGAGCTATAACCATGAGGCACAAGCACAATATTTTTAAAAAGTCTTTTTGATGAGGATTGCTCATCTGAATGGGAGAAGAAACCTGTCTTGCCTCTTTTACTCTGGTTGAAATATGAACTCAGAGTTCAACAATTAATACATGTTAGAATTCCTCTGAGAATATTCAGGCCATATTTATCCCTAGCGGAACTCCAGTGGAGTCAAATAGTTAAAGAAGGATGGCCATGTGGTTAGGGCATTAGCCTAGGTCTCATGAGAACTGAATGTAAACCATAGACTTCCTGTGTGACCGTGGGTAAGACACATAGGTGTCTAAGTCCCAGTTTTAGGCACCACTGCGATCCACAAAACCCTCATTCAGCTGCCACCTAACCCCTTAGGCACTTAAATTGACTCAGCTCCTAAACTTTTGCTGTAAAAGTTCCCTAGTGATCTAGATTTGTACCTCTGGACATGAACACTGCTGCTCCACTCTAGGTGTCCAGATGCCTATCTCCCCCAGAATGACCTATAAGGGAAACTAGGCAAAGGAGCACCTGTATCACTTTACCAATTTTGGTAGGCATGCTCAGAGGCCACCTACTGGATTGGGTCCCATACAAAATCGGGCTGGAGGAGGAGGAGGAGGAGGAGGTAGGGGCCCACCTTATAACTTTTAGGCCAGTGATTAGAGCATTTTCCTGAGATGTGGAAGACTTTGGATAACTACTTAAAGAATTGTTGGACCAGAGAGCAACAGCAAAACAAAAGGAGTCTGTAGCACAGAAGTTCAGGGAGCCATCCAGTCTCCCTGCTTCAGTGGCTGTTTAATTATTTATTCACAGTAGAACTGCTTCAGCAGGAGAGACTGAGGGCACACACACTTCACATTGACTGCCATAGCTCAGTGTTTAGAGCATTCTCTGGCTAGAGGGAAAACACCCCTTTTCAAATTGCGTCTGCATGAGGGGTAAGTGAACTTGAGTCTCCCACATACCAGGTGAGTACGCTATTTACTATGTTCGAAGTTATATGGTGGGTACTACCTCCTTCTCTGGACAGCTTGTTGGTGTCAGGCAAGTTCCAACCTCATTCTCAGAAGAAATTACTTAGGTACCTAAACTGCATGACTCTGAGAGAGGTCCCTGGTCATGGACTGCTAGTAGACATAGACAACTCACTGCAGCCCAGCCTTAGGTGCCTAACTCGGTCAGAGATGCACAGATGAGGATCCAGCCCTGTCATCACCATCTCCCATTGGCTAGCTAAGGTGGCTCCTGCCTAGCATGCTGGCTTTTGTGGATTGTATCCTTTGGTTCTTCTCTCTCGTCATTCATTGTATAGGGAGCCTAGGTGCCTAATACAATATTGTTCCTGAAAATTATGCCATGCTGGGTTGTCAAGGTTCCTTCCCCACTCTGAACTCTAGGGTACAGATGTGGGGACCTGCATGAAAACCTCCTAAGCTTACTTTTACCAGCTTAGGTTAAAACTTCCCCAAGGTACAAATTAATTTTACCCTTTGCCCTTGGATTTCCACTGCCACCACCAAACTTTATCTGGGTTCCTGAAAAAACGGAGTTTGGACATGTCTTTCCCCCCAAAATCCTCCCAACCCTTGCACCCCACTTCCTGGGGAAGGTTTGGTAAAAATCCTCACCAATTTGCATAGGTGACCACAGACCCAAACCCTTGGATCTTAAAACAATGAAAAAGCATTCAGTTTCCTTACAAGAAGGCTTTTAATAGAAGTAAAAAGAAAAGAATCACCTCTGTAAAATCAGGATGGTGAATACCTTACAGGGTAATTAGATTCAAAACATAGAGAATCCCTCTAGGCAAAACCTTAAGATACAAAAAAGACACACAGACAGGAATATTCATTCTATTCAGCACAGCTATTTTCTCAGCCATTTAAAGAAATCATAATCTAATACATACCTAGCTAGATTACTTACTAAGTTCTAAGACTCCATTCCTGTTCTGTCTCCAGCAAAAGCAGCACACAGACAGACCAGACCCTTTGTTTTTCTCCCTCCTCCCAGCTTTTGAAAGTATCTTGTCTCCTCATTGGTCATTTTGGTCAGGTGCCAGGGAGGTTACCTTTAGTTTCTTAACCCTTTACAGGTAAGAGGATTTTTTTCCTCTGGCCAGGAGGGATTTTAAAGGGGTTTACCCTTCCCTTTATATTTATGACATGGGTGATGTACCTTTGTGGGTCTGGGCATTAGTGTCTCTGTGCCTCCAGTCCCCACCTGTACGATGGGGATAGTAGCACCTCTTGACTTCACAGGGTCCTCCTATATCTATTGCACTTCACTGCTATCTTTTTTTTTAAAGCAGAAAAGAATTTTATTTGTGTAACATTTACAAAGAATCACTAAAGAGAATAAAGCAAGACTATGCGACAAAACAAAAGCAAACAGAAGGTATAACACAGCAGCCTTCAGGAGGGAGAAGTGTTCAGGCTAGCCTGGGCCCAGAGCAGGGGGGCTTCCTCGACACTCGTGGTCTTCCACTCCCTCGAGTTACCTAGTGCCACGCCCAGTGTCACCGATTATTCCTCTCCTGAGAGTGCCCGACAAGATGGGCACGGCTGCGGGGTGGGCGGTTTGGGGGTGGGGGGGATTACACCCACGTGTTATAGGACCCCTCCTAGGTGACAGTAATGATGCTATCCACAGCGACAACGGCTAGGGCTGGGGTCTCTCGCTCTTCCCCTCAATCAAAGGGTCAGATGGAGGGAACCGGACGGGGTCACCGAGCAGAGAACTTCGGACAGCGCCCACCGCTCCTCGAAGGCGTCAAGGGAGTCGGTGGACGCCGCCCAGAGGAATTCCGCCCGGATACGTGAATGTACTGAGGATCGGAAAACGGCCCTACAATCGCAGGACGCTTCATTAGCCAACCTCCCCTCTCTGGTTTTATAAATGGCTGTTTTAGCTATGGCTAGGAGGAGGTTAACCAGGAGATCTCGCGATTGGGGAGTGTGTAGATAAACTTCACTGCTATCATCAGGTTTTTGCTGCTTGAAGTTTTATATTAACAGTTTGCATTTTAAAATGCTCTGGGCCATACTCTGACTTCAGTTTCACCATTAACTTCAGTGGAGTTACAAGTAATTAATTTGCACTTACACAACTGAGATCAAAATCTCACTTTTGGGGATGCAGTCTCATCTCACAACAGTGTCATTCCATTGACCTCAGTAGAGTCATTCCTGATTTACACCAGTGTGACTTAGATAAGACTCTCAGGCCAGCTGGCTGATACATTGTTCTGGATGAATTTCTATATTTGGTGAAAACATATTCAGCTCTGGTAAAATGGAGATACAAAAAGAATTTGTTTTCAATTCATAATGTTCTGCTGTTAATATTTTCACTCAGACAACACTGTTAACCATATCCTTTGCCTTTGCTTGAAATGCTTACATAACTTACAGTACATGATGGAAGCCTTTGCTATTTACTTAAAGATTAACATTGAGGCTGTTGCTTTTAAGTGCTATTAATAATGAATAAGGTTTTCCATCTTGTGCCTTATGTTTCTTCTGTAAACCTTCCCAAAAATACTTTTGGAGGAGAGCAGCAGAATTCGTAAAAGGTAGTTTACAAATTGCTGTATATATTTTTCAGTAACTAATTTTATTTTTAAAAATCAAACTTCCTGAACCTGGAGTTCTTCAGCTGGTGTTAATCAGGAGAGATCCATTGAAATCAGTGGATTTATACCAGCTGAGAATCGGGCCAGGAAACTCTACTGATTCTAAAACAAACATAGCTTTGTGATTACTGAAATTCTAGACATTTTTCTCATTGTTGCAAGCACTATTTATGTTGCAATGGACCATTAAGTGCAAGTGGGAAAAGTAAACACTTTCTCCGTACATAATATTAATCACAGAACTTAGATAGATAGAAGACAATGGACCTACAGTATTTTTGTCTCTGTTCCAGTATTTAACCAGCACAGTTCAGTTCAGCTCTATCAGATCTTGAAGGCGTTCGCAACTTATATGGACATATACTAAAATGCTCCCAGTTTTATTTTTTTCTTCATGGTGTTAAAACTCAGTGAAGATTGGTAAAGGAAGGTGGTGAGGTTACAGCAATCATCTGCTGGTTAGAGTGAAGAATAAAGAGCTAGAAGCCAAGAGACCCCTGCTGAGTTGACCTAGGTCAAGTCATTTAATGCCCTTCATCATCAACTGGCACAACTGGAAAAAAATGTAGGTTAAAAGCAGGAACACGCTTGAAACCAAAAGCTACTTATGGTCAAAGCTTTCTTGAGTAAATAAAACAGAAGAGATCTGTCAGAGAATTTCATTTTAGCTGTGCTGCCCTTACTGAAAGAGAGACAAATCCCAAAGGACTAGGAAATTCTGTCACAATAAAAAAATGAAAAAAGTGTGAGTGCATTGGCTTGGCAACTCAGTAGCTCATAAATTCCTAGTCTGAGCTTCTCCACATTATCTTTAGTCACTCTGACCTGGGAAAGGCAACAAGTAAACACCTTGCATCTTCTATTTAGGAGAAATCATACTCTGTGCTGCTCTGATATTGTCAAGAATACCATAATTATGACTGTGCAATTATGTATGACACTTTTAAAATATGAGTCATCTTACATAACTTAATTTACCAAGCATTTTAGATGATGTTCACTAATGGTAAAAAATAGAAGTGGATATCAAAATGCAGTTTGGTGAGGAACAGTGATTACACTGGAATTATTCAAACTTTCAGGCTTAAACACAAAGGATAACATTTTCATAAGTGTCTAAGAGCTAGATTTTTAAAAGTAGTTAGGCACCTAACTCCCATTGAAGTCCGTGGGAGTTAGGTGCCTAAATACCTTTATAATGTGGCCCTAAGTGATATGGTTTCCTAAATCCCATTGAAAGTCAATGGGACTTGGGGGATCTTGGAAATTCGATCATAGCTCTATGTCTATGCTGCAGTCAGAGGTGGGATTACAGCACGGGTTGAAATACCTGCGCGAGCTTTCATCTGGCAACTAACATCGTTAAAGATCGCATTGAAACTGTGGTAGCGTTGGCTTCGGAATAAGCCCGCCGAGAACCTGGGGCAGATACTTGCATCCCTAACCTGTGCTGCTTCATCTTCACTGATATTTTCAGTGAGCTAGCTAGATTAGAGCTAGGGTGGATATGCCTACCTGAGCTGGGAATAATGTGGGTGGGCGATTCTGAGTCCTCCTCTCTCCCTTCTGAGTTTTCATCATTATTGTTTTGTACTACAGAAGTACGTAGAGACTCCAACTGAAGTCAGGCCCCCAGTGCATGCTATAAGGACAGTCTCTGTCTTAAAGAGCTCACGATCCAGACAGACAAAGCAGGCAACGATGGAGTTATCCATATTTTATAGTTAGTAAACTGAGGCACAGAGAGATTGGCTACGGTCACAGAGGAGATCTGTGGCAGAGCTTTATCCTGAATCCAGATCGGCCCGAGTCACAAGACCATTCTTCTTTCCAAGCAGGGAAAAGAAAACAGCACAATTCATTTGAAGTTTAGTGCCTATCTCGAAAAAAGATGTGCCCAGGTCTGTGATACAAAGGCTCACAAAGAACAGGTGTTTTGCATCATTAGTTCATAATCTCATATTCAGAGAAATGAAATATTCCAAAATTTTTTCCCAACAGAATCCCAAACTGCTGGGAAACCAGAGGTGCACCTGCCACTGCCTAAGTCCAGAGAAGAATGGTTCCTGAGGGTCTTTCATGCATGTGCAAACATAAGGTGAGCTGCTATGCATTTTGTGCTTTCATTCACTGCTGTCCTCTGCACCTGCCGAAGGACCGAGATATGCTAGAGCCAGCCTCTTTGATGATGCTCTACAAAATAAGCCAGCTAACCCTGTTTTCAACATTGACTTCACCTAGTTATTTCACCTAGAGTTATTTCTTTGCTGATGTGAACTAGCTCAACTATTTTGAATTCAATATACACCAGCAGAGAATTTGCCCCTCATATATACATACATTTAGGTCAAGTTTTTATTACCCAACATTCGCTATGATATATTGAAATGGAAGTAACTCTTCTTTGTATGAATAAACTCAAGAATACAAACATGTAAACTCAAAGAAGAAAAGGGCTGCAAATCTGGTAAGAAACAGGAATACTCCTAGCGTATTGCTTAAGAACGAGGAGAGTCACAAAAATGACAAATATCTAAAACACTAAGGAGTGACCCAGTACTTCTGCCAAACACACCAGCAGCACATCCCAAACATTTTATGAAACACTATACAAAGCAGAAAATATTCCATCCCAATGACTTTTAATTTCATATATGGGGGATCTAAAGAAAAACCCTCCCAAGAAGATCAGCCAATCCCACAGATACCAGCTATTCAAGCTATGCAAATTAAACCTAACACCTCAGGCCTGGATGGGTTATCCATAGAATCTTGCAAGAGCTATGGTACTGTACACTTCTGTCACTAAATAATAATAAATATCTAGCTCTTACATAGCACTTTTCATCAGTAGATCTCAAAGCACTTCACAAAGGAAGTTAGTATCATTTTTCCCATTTTCAGATGGGGAAAATGACGTACAGAGAGATGAAGTGACTTGCCTAAGGCCAGAGGAAGAGCTAGCATGGAATGGAACTCATAGCAATGGAACTCATATTTACTGAGTCCCAGTCTAGTACTTTATCCATGAGGCAACACTACCCAAATTCTTTGAGAAAGCCCCAGTGATCAGTTGAGAACTTCACAAATAACTTTAATATCTAAATGAACCAAAGAATTGTAGGGTCAAATTCTGCCATATGGGTTCATCTAAGCCAATGGGATCTATGTGTCTGCATCAGAGGGCAGGGATGAGGTTTATAATCCATAAAGGATCTTCTTTGGTCAGGAAGGATGTCACCCCAATACTGAAGTGACAGAAGGAAAATCACTTCCATTCCCTCAAGCAGCCAAAGAAGAGGACAGTCTCATAATAGTTAGTATGGTGGCTAGCAATCACATACAAACCACAACCTCTAGTGAAAAGAGAGGATGCAGGGGGTGAGATGGAGGAAGAGAGCAAGAGAAGCTGGTTGGGAGAAGGGAGTATCATGCATTTTATGTCCACATGAATAACCAGAGCCCATGTTTGCACACTTCTGTTGAGGTTCACAAACACATTATAGCAGAGGCTAGTTTGGAGTGGGTCTGATGTTTGTTGAGAACATTTGCACAACTCTAATAAGAGCTCCTTTAACAAATGTAACTCAGAGTAATTTCCATCCCTTCCTTTGAAAAATCATACATGGTTTAGGTCTAGATTCTTCCTCACTTACACCGGTAGCACATTATTTCATGATTTGAAAAGGGACTATTTATGAAGATGCAACACAACTACAGTTGTGTTGCAGAACCTGGGCCTTTGACAGGTAGACAGAGGTCTGCTAGTGCTTTTGAATACATAATGTATCGGCTACTTATGGGTGGGAGATCAATATGATTAGAATTAATATCTTTATAATTCAGTTTTCTTAATTTGTTTCACTCCCCAGAGCCACAAGTGCATGCACTATTCTTCCTTAACATTAATATTTTCAGAAATATATGTTTAATATAAGGAAACACTTGATTTTGCAATCATTTCAAAGGAAATTTTGACTCAGTAAAGAATGCAAGTTTGAGCTCCAGTGGTCTAAATCAACAGTTTTTAAGCTCAGCTTCCCATTGCTTTCGTTGGGGAGTTATGTTTTAAAATTAGTGGCTTCAGATAGCCCATTATTTTTACCCCTTTAAAGCAAGAAAATAAAAACATAAAGAGAACCAATTATGACACATTTCCTCGACATCAGTGAAACTTCTGGATAAAGCTTTGGTCTACAGAAAGTCTGGGTTGGATAACAATAGAAAAGCAGTATGTTGTAAATCTTCTGCTTCTTACCATTGCGTTAAGCTCTCTATCCATGGTAAGAATAAATTCTCAGCTTCTCACCACACAACAACATACACATAGTACCTGGAATACTACGTTGAAAGTAAATAAAAAGAACACTACCTGCATTCTTGAGCAAGACTGTTTGATAATAATCCTTACTTTAAAATGAACAAGAAAACTAGCCCCTGGCCTGTATGGATCAAAGACAGCATGTCTTCAGTCCTCAGATAAACACACACAACATCTTCTCTGTAGTGACAATTGGGCCTACAAATTTACCCAAACTGTGAGCTCAGCTGTAAAAAGTATGTAAAAGTTCATAAGATGTTACACAAACTTAGAATAACAAATGTCGATGGGGAAAAGTACAAAAGGAAGACAGGATAACTGAATTCATCTAAACAAAAAGGACAAGCTGATATGATTCAAGGACTGTCTTGAAATTATGTTTGTTAAAAACAGGAGCTATGGAGCCAGAAGCTAATGAGACAACATTATGTCAAATATTAGGCCCAATTGGTGGATAAAATAATGAGGTGATGGGATATTCCACCCATCAATCCTTTTTTGGGCCTTTAAAAGAAAGATTTTGTGGGGAAACAAACAAAAGAACAAGAAAAAGAACAAATGGAAAGAACACAAAGAGGCTAGTAGAGAGAACTTCACCATCATGGCTGTCTCCCACACCTTTTCCTGGGACCCCCGGCCTTCATCATTCTGATCCTGATAAGTGTCCTGACCAGAACAGGTGAGAGAGAGAGAGAAAGAGAGAGAGAGAGAGATCCAACTGATATTGGGATGACCGTTATTACAGTAAATGTACCACCAGGAAATGTACCACCAGGTCACCCAAGCTACCCCCCAAAATTATGAGTACTATTTTAAAAAGAAGCATTTCAGTTATTCTATTCTAAAAATGGGTTACTGGACAAGAGTAATAAATGTATTTAAATTATTCCAAACTGATCTGAGTCTCCTCTCACACTGGTTTTCACAACAATGTATCTTCACTGGTTGCAATGGAGTTACCCTGATGTACAGGTGAGAAGAGGTATCCCCACCAACAATTCTTCTATGCACATGCAACATCAACCTGGACCAACTAATGACAACTGGGGTTGATGATCAGTAAATTAAAAATTCTCTAATGAGACTTTGATATGGTACCATATAATGGCTCCAAAGAATACAGTATGCTCTACTGAATCATTGATTTGTTAACTACAAACTCTCTTGCATTCCATAACATTAATCAGCTTTAATGGCTCCAATGGAGGCATATTAATTAATTGCAGCTCCATTAATAACTCCCTGATTATGTATTTACCTGACCTAGGCTGTACTGTGCATGTTAGAAATTCTTTAATTATATTTTACACAATAGTGGCTCCAAGGGAGATTATAAATAGTGCATTGTAGGTGCTATTATTTCTAAAGAGAGGAAATGTGACTAAATTAGGCTAATTGTGAGTAACAGAATTAATTTTGCTAAAGGTTATTTCATGGGTATAAATTAAATCCACAAGAGCAGACAACTCACAGATGAAGATATTACTCCAAGCTGATTCATGGCCTTTAGTCTTGGAAGTCACATTTTTATATAGAGTGAAATTCACCCCAGTGCAGAGGGCCCACACAAGGTATTATATGTACCACTTAAGTGCCACTTAAACCCCACATTCAGGGAAAAATCCCTCTGCTACCTTTCAAGGGGCTGAGGGCTGAGGGCTCTCTGGCTGTGGGAAGCAAGGATTTTCTAGTTACCCTAATGCCCTGTGGAGACCACATTGGGACCATGGAGGCTATTCTAGCCATTGGCTAGACCCGGCCCCTTGGGGATAAGTTGTGGGGGGCAGAACTACTGCCTCTTTCATGGGTAGAAAGGGGAAAATCTTTCCCCAGGCATTTCCTTGGAGAGGACAATCCTTGCACAACTAAGGATTTCTGGAGGGAGTACTCCCAGGTGATTTGCTTCTTAGAGCAAGCAGTCTCTCCTTGTGGTGATTCTGTGACTTAATTGCTAAAAGAAAGCCTGCAAAATGAGAAGCATCTTGCATCATGGTATGGAGATGGCAAAAGTAGAGCTGTTTGAACTGTTATTTGAGAAATGTGGCCTCTGAAAAGAAAGGGCACTGGTCCTTGGTCAGTTGAAGACTGCGTTAAGGTATTTCTGGCCACAGTTGCTCGCAGGGAGAGTCCAAGAGCACAGATGAATCCAGTAAAGCTCCAGAACTGAGCTCCACCTTGCCATTCATTGGAAAGTGAGGTCATGCCACCTTTGCTAAATCATCAGAGTCCTTCCTTTTGTCAACAAACATCTCCTGTCTCTTACTAGGATTGTGCGTGAACCAGCTACTTTTCAGTAGGATTCCCATTTCAGTCAGACATTAGAATAGCATGGCAAGAGTTCTACCTCTGCTTTATAAGAAGGAGACATAGAGCTAAGTGTCATCAACATATTGCAATCCATATGGTACGAATATCTCCCTATGTAGTTCACGGCGCTAACTGGATAGTTACAGAAATAAGAATTCATCGTCATCATGATGGTTTTAGGATCGTGACTTTTTTGTTAAATGCAGATACATAGTAACATCAATAGTGAACAGAGATATAAGTCATGTAAATGCTCTTTAGCATATCTTTTAGGAACTCTAACTTTTATTTATTCCAGGAATGCATAGAGCTCTGTAAAATATCAGCAGCTTTTGCTGAGACAATGCTATGCATTTCAGCAATCTATCCAAGGCATGACTCTTGCCAGGCATCTCAGAGACTTTACCATGCATTTTACTGGTCTTGTTATTTTCAGAGGAGCATATGTCTTGTGCAGATAACACTGGTGG